GGTTTCCAACGGCTTGAGGTGAGGTGACATTTGATTATGGCTTTTGGGGATAAACTACAATAATCTGTGGAATTACATGTACCCAGAATTTTACCTGTATTAACTAATAGTATTTTCTGATTTTCTCTTAAAATTAATTAAAGTAGAAACAACATCAAAGAACATTCAATGAAAAAAATTCTAGCACTTCTAGAAAAGATTTCCAGCAAGTTCACCAGATCGTCTTCTGGTAAAGAGCTATATAAAATAACGAACTTTTGGTGCCAAAGCTGTTTCTTATGCAAGGAGAAAAATAGGTACAGACAGTGTCAGATTTTTTATCCTAATTCATTTTCCAGATTTGTATAGTTTCTTACCCCCACTATATTTTCCAGTTCAGTGAATTCTTCAAAGAATTTTTGTATTGTGGAAATGAACATGCATGGTGTTTATTTGTGCTACAAATAAGTATTTTCTTTCAAGTAGGAAAAGAGTGGGAACCCATTTACTTGTTCAAAAGCAATTCAATTTCCTTGTTGACTGCCAAACAAGCCAGGGATGAAATTGATCAATTTCAGAAAAGTAATGAAAAGAATTGGCTAGGGATTCAAAAGCATCTATTTTAGGGGAAAATCAGTATGTAGATATACTTCAGGCTAATAAAATTATGGCCAAACTGAGTAACTACAATTTTTTGATATCAACATTGTTTTCAGAAAAATATTTATTGGGTTTTATTACTATGTAAAGAATAGATTTGAGTGAACATTCTTTGTGGTTCTTCACATTCCAAGGTCCTTACATAATGTAATGTTTCACTCTTCCAATTATTTCAGCTGGCTGCTGCACCGTCGATGAGATTATTGTTGGGTAAAAGCAAACTCTGAATCTGTGTATAGATGTTTGTCTTTTTTTTTTTTATTTAACTAGACAATTTTAGAAGTTTAATAGATGTTTGTCTTGTGAGGTAGGATGAACTACTGGAAAGAGGTAGAGAGGCAGTAACTGACAATGAGGTAGAGAAAACAGATTAAGGATTTTGTTAGGTAGAGATTATGACGCCGTATTTTGATGTATGACAAAACTAAAATCGCTGGCGGATATTTTTTATGCTGGATCATAGTAGCAGATACATGTTCCCAACTGGTAGTTTGAGGTCATGAAAGGGATTAAAATGTAGTTTGAGGAATACATTTTTTTTTTCTTGCAAATGTTTATGTTGTTGAATTTTTAAAGCTGGAGACTGAGATTATGATAATAATGCATTTGGAAGATTTATCTAGTACTGAGAACAGGGCTGATTGGACAGTAATCAGTGAGAGGCAAAGAAACCAGTTTAACAAGGGATTGCCATCATGGTTGTGTGAGAAGAAAAGCAATTGAACTGAGGTGCTGGAAAGAATAAAAGTACTAAGGGACAGTTTGAAGTAATTGTAAAAATGATTTGCTAGAACAAGAAAACAGGAAAGATAATTTGACTCTTGGTATTAAGAGGGTTTTTGATACCTGAACACTGGCTTCCTAGAACTCAGAAAATCTGGTTTCTCATTCCAGCAGTGGCATTCACTAGTTGTGTGAGAAAGCATTATTTCCATACCTTAGATGCTTCAACTGTCAAAAAGAAGGTGGAGCACTGAACCAGTCTGTCTGATTTCCAGTACAAGAGACCTCAGTCTGGTGTCTCATCACTGAGTCAGACATCATAATGGATCATAAAGCTGTTTTCCACTGGATACAAATGAAACCTCATGATCTTTCTCAATTAAGGTCTCTAGACCAAGGGTCCCCAAACCCGGGGCCACGACCACTTCATGGCCTGTTAAGAACCAGGCCACACAGCAGGTGGTGAGTAGCAGGCCAGAGAGCATTATGGCCTGAGCTCCACCTCCTGTCAGATCAGCAGCTGCATTAGATTCTCATAGGAGCACGGATCCTAGCATGAACCATGCTTGTGAGAGATCTAGGTTGCGCGCTCCCTAAGAGAGTCTAATGCCTGACAATCTGAGGTGGAACAGTTTCATCCTGAAACCATTCCCTCAGCCATCCCTTACCCCAACATGCTCTGGATATCTGATACCAACTCAAGGAATTTTGTATTCACAACAAAATCAGATTCTAATGTAGGAATTAGGTTTCAGTGTCTCTTCTTGTTGCTGTGTCGTTTCCTCATTTTATTGTTTTCAAGTCATGCAAATAGAGAAGCAGGAAAAGGAAAATTGAGAAACAGAATGAGGCAGAGGAGGCAGGAGACAGGGTGTGTGAGGAAAGCCTGTGTTAGTGGGTATTTGTGTTGGTTGGTCAAACTTGAATAGACTTCGTTACCACAGCTACAATCTTTCAGTCAGGATAAGGATGTTTAACAGAATGAAGACTAGGTAAAGATCAAAGAAATGCAAGTCAGCACACTGAGAAACTAATAGGTAATTAACATCAAAATAAATCAATGCCAGAACGAAAGTGTTTTTCTCTTGTGACAGTTTGGATGTGAACATTATCTTCTTTCTCACTCAGAAGGGCAATTGGGGGATCAGGCATGAGACCAAGTGGCCAAAAGCAAGAGCAATTAGATCCAGAAACCTGGACACCACAAAGCAACTCACAGAGAGAAGGGATGTCCTTTCACCATTTGATGTCTGGTTATGATACTTCTTGTCTGAGTTAACGTTTTATTAACACACATATTTGAATACTTGATTAGAAGCCACTGTTGGTGCCCTTCCCAGAGGGGCTGCTGCAAGGGCTTTTGCTAATGGACACATGCACACACATTCACAATTCTATTTTTAATGGCCTCCTTTTTTCCAGTGAAGAAAATCCAAGTCAATACAATTCTAATTTTGTAGCCTGCAGACTAATGTCTATGATATAGTACATAATTATTGCAATAAGCTATTTCCATAGAGGGTTTTACAGCCTGTCTTTAGTGTAAATGAAGGTGATATACAAGTGGAATTAACTGAAGTTTTCTGATTTTAGGGAGACTTTGGTTTGTGCAAACAAATCCCATCTCATTTTGCCTTCATTAATAAATTCTTTCCCTATTTTCATTTTTAATGAAGAAAGAACTTTAATAAAAAAGTTTTATTAAATTCTATACTAAATGTTAATTGAACAGACTAATAATCCAGATATTACAGGTGTATTTAAAATATATCATACCTCTTAATTATAAGAAAAGTAACCATATAATAATATGACTATTGGCCGAGCACAGGGGCTCACACCTGTAATCCCAGCACTTGGGGAGTCCGAGGCGGGCAGATCACGAGGTCGGGAGATCAAGACCATCCTGGCTAACACAGTGAAACCCCGTCTCTACTAAAAAAATGCAAAAAAATTAGCCAGGCATGGTGGTGGGCGCCTGTAGTCCCAGCTACTCAGGAGGCTGAGGCAAGAGAATGGCATGAACCTGGGAGGCAGAGCTTGCAGTGAGCCGAAATCATGCTACTGCACTCCAGCCTGGGTGACAGAATGAGACTCTGTCTCAAAAAAAAAATATATATATATATATACACACACACACACATACACACACACACATATACATATATGACTATTAAGCTAGTTACTATGTCAAATGGTCTTAACTCTTAAATTGCAATATTTCAATTTATTTCTTCACCCACATAGATGTTTGCCTCTTCTCTTACAGTTGTATCCTCTAACTAGGTCTTCATTATTTTGTCAAGTTCTTATTATGTCTTCTCAATCTTCTTTGGTCTTATAATAAAGCTAATGGTTTTCAGTATTGTTTAGAAACAGGTATGTGATTCCCAGGCAATAGCCTTTTCTCTCATCTTATCCTCTCTCTCGTCTACTTTGGTACATGCCAGCATTCCCAACTAATGATGCCTGATCAGGATCTACCCTTGTTTCACCAAAACAATCTATTAACCTTGGAACTTCATGTAATTGCTTAACTTACTCAGACTCATTACCTATTTTTACCTTGTCTGTTTCTTCATATTTCTATAAATTGATTGATTATCATCAGAATTAGGGACCTCATCTACCAGTCCTCCTAATAGTGAATACATTCCTTATCCCGACCCTCATTCCATATATACAGAATATATATTTTTCCCTACTTTGTATATATTAGGGATGCTATTGGATTTGGCTTTCTTCCTTATTCTATCAATCCCATTAAAAAAAAATACTTCATTTTTAAATCAAATCCATACATTTATGTGACACATTCTTCAAACTGATCCTAAGAATATCATCTCTTTAATCACCTTGTCCTCTGAGACACTCTCTTTAATTTTATGTTTTGAGATCACCAGGTTGAAAGAATGAGAGAAAATTAGGGAGACAATAGAAACATTAAAGTAAAAAACACTTGAGGGCATAGGACAAACATATAGATTAATAATATGATAAGTGTGGTGACAGAGGTGCCTGTGTGGTATTGTAAGGTACTTGGAAGGGACTTTTCAGTGTTCTATGAGGTAGGGAAAGAAAAAGAGTGATGATGATCAATGGGAAAACTGGTATTTCCATGCCTAATAGTGAAAAGTATAAATCGATACAAGTTATCTGAAAGGCAATTTGTCAATTTATATTCACAATCTTAAAGTGGATTTTACCCTTTGAAAGTCTTCTAGGAAAAATTTGCCCCAAGATTACAATGTGATGGTTTTGGATAAACGTTGTTTCAGCAAACCACTCACTTTCTACTTTTAAAACATGCTGCTGATATATTTTTTTTTTTTCAAGCCTGGTTTCACATTCACCCTGTCCACGATGCCTATTTTTCAAGTCTTAATTGCTACTTCCTTGTTTCTTATTTACTCTGTCCACACTAGCCAAACTAATATTCCTACTTTATTCCTAAATTGCTAAACTTTATTTCCCTGCTTAAGAACCTGCTGTGCATGTCCATTAACTAAAGCATCTACTTCCAAATGTATCTGGCTATTTTCCATGCTCTCTTTGACTCCTCTCACTCACGGATATATCTCATTACTTTTCAGAATGATTCCTCTAAATCTTGTTCACTTATTTTATTCCCTATTTAGACCAGATATCTTCTGTTTGCCCTTCCATAAAGACGTCCCACCCATGTCCATGTTGCTCTTCGCCATCAAAGGCTAATCTGCTTGGGTAAGTCACAGGTTCCTATGTCTACTGGCCTTCGGTAGGGTTTGGCCAAAGGGGATGCCTGGTAAGAGATTAGAGGTTAATGAGGTTAAAGGTATGTATTTCCTCTTGATTAGGATGCTTTTTCCCACTTGAGGACGACCTCTGTTTTTTCCAAGATGGGCTGCTTAAAGTAAGATGTTTTTGTGTGTTGGTGGAGGGGAGTGGATCCTATAACCTGTGCCACTCCTCATGCCTTCACACCCAGCATGGTAACAGCACTGCTGCAAATAGCTTTGTGCTATTGCACTATCCTCTATCTCAGCTTACACAGCTTTGTAATTATATCATTTGTAAACAAGCATTCTTGAAATTATTCTAATTTGAATATGTCCTCTTTCAGGGGGAACATGATTAATATACAACCCTTCTCAGTGAATGGTTTTTGTTTTTCTGTTTCTTAAGCTCTTTGGGTAGATTCTAATATGCAATGTTAATGAACTTGTAGAACATAATAAGGATTTTGGGCTGTATCCTAAGAGCAATAAGTAATGGGAAGTCAATAAAAGGTTTAAAGAGGAGCAAGATGCTATTTAAGATTTGTTTTGAAAGTATCACTTTGGTTGGTATAAACTTGATTGATAGAGAGGCACAAGGAGTTAGGGAGATATTAGTAACTTTGATATTGTCAAGCTAACTGTGTTCTGCTTGATTGGATAGGAGTCTCATCATTGGATAGAAAGGATGTAAAAGCTAAAGAATTTTTGTATTCCTTTATATTTACCCAAAGGCATTGAAAAACATGCCCACACAAAATATTTCACATGATGTTCATAGCTGTCAAAACTTAGAAGCAACCAATATATCTGCCAGTAGGTGAGTGGATAAATAAATTAGGGTACATCCAAATAATGGAATATTATTCAGCACTAAAAAGAAATGAGCTTTTCAAGCCATGAAAAGACATGGAGGAAACTGAAGTGTACATTGCTAAGTAAAAGTACTCAGTCTAAAAATGCTAACTACTATATGATTCTAACTATGTAACATTCTGGAAAAGGCAAAACTATGGAGACACTAAAATAATTCATGGTTGTCGGGATATAGAGGGGAGGGAAGGATGAAATGGCAGAATACAGAGGACTTTTTGAGGCAGTGAAAATACTCTGTATGATGTTATAATAGTGGATAATGCAATTATACATTTGTCCATGCCATAGAACGCACAAATCCAAGAGTGAACCCTATGAAAACCAAGAGCTTTGGGTGATAATGATGTCAGTGTAGGATTATCAGTTGTAATAAATGTACCACTCTGGTGGGGGATGTTGATAATGTAAGAAGCTATGCTTGTGTGGGACAGGGGCATAGGGGTTATCTCTGCTCCTTCTGCTAAGTTTTGCTGGAATCTAAAACTGCTCTAAAAAAATTAAGCCTTTAAAATAAATTAACAAACAACATCAACAACAAACACATATTAAAAACAAAGAAAATCTAAATGATTGAATAAGAGATTGTATATCAGCAATAAGGGTAACTAGGCATTCTTGATAGTGTATTGGCCCCCTAAGGGTCTCTATGCCCTAATCTCCAGACCCTGTGACCACAGGACAAGAGGGAATTAAGGTTGTAGATAGAATTAAGGTTTCTAATTAGCTGCCCTTAAAATAAAATTGTCCTGGGTTATAGTGTGAGTTTAATGTAATCACAAGGGTTTAAATGTAGAGAAGGAAGGCAGAAGAGTCAGTGTAGGAGAGCGGGTTGATGATACTACACAGCTGATTTTGAAGATGGAGGAAAGGGCTATGAGCCAAGGAACGTAAGCAGCCTCTAGAAGCTGAAAAAGGAAATGGATTCTCCTTTACAGCCTCCAGAAGGAATGCAGCCCTGTCAATACTTTGACATTAGCTCAGTGAAACTTATTTCAGATTTCTGACTGCCTGAACTGTAACATAATAAATCTGTTTCTTTAAGTCACCAAGTTTGTGGGAATTTGTTACAGCAGCAATAGGAAACTAATGCACTAACTGTCTCGCTTGTGCACCAACTGAAGAGTGGTATTATTTATTGGCATAAGGGGCATCAAAAGAGAACCAGGTTTGAGGGTAAGAAGAAAAATTAAATCTGAATATCCCCAAAGATGTGTTTAGAGATCTCGAGTAGTCACATAACTATGAAAATAAGGTAGAGAGGTGTATGTTTGGGAATAATATTAGCTTTCACTGATTGGACACCCCAGACACTTTCATAAGCTCTCTCTCTAGGTATATGCAAAATCTTAACAACATTTTAACGTTGACCTGTTAACAAATGAGAAGATAGAAGGCCTATAGGGGCTTACAATCCTATAGCTGGTGGAATGTGTACACTGATGACCCTTCACCTCTACACAAGATGGTCTACACCAATGCTTGTAACCACTAGATAAGTTGAGACTTTCTGTGTATAGATGTAATTGAAATGTGGGAAAGAAGGAAACTGAGCTTATCTAGAGATTTTAAAGGGAGAGAGAAGGAAAGTTCAGAACTAAGCCTTGAGAAACTACTGCAGTTAATGAACAATAAGAAAGAATGTGTCTGCAGAGGGGAGGAGACCCAGAAGGAATATTCAAAGACGTGAGGAGGAACTCCAGAACACAGCGCTATGGCAGGAACTGAGGACAGCAGAGATTTAAGAAGAAATGACTGGCCAGCAGTATTAAAGATTGCTAAGATGTCAACCAGGAGGAGGATTAAGAAAGGGGAACCCAATTTTAGCTTGGCTAATATGTATAAGACTGCTGACATCTTCACATATTGACTCCCATTTTATATTAACAATTTATTTTATTTAACTGTGTATAATGAAAATTTTCAAAGGCACATAAGTGGAGAAAATGGCATAATGAATCTCCGTATATCCATCACTAGACATAACACAAACATTTTGCCATTTTTTCTGAAATATTAAAATTCTGATATCATGCCATATCATCCCTCAATATTTCAGTTTGTGTTTACATCATATAAGGATACTTCTTTATACAACCACAGTGCCATTGTCAACCCCAGCCAAATTAATAATACATTATTATAATCTTATATCAAGGCTATATTTTTTCCTGTTGTCTCAAAAATATTGTTTTTCAATTGGCCTACTTAAATTTTAATAAATTTTAATCATCATAGACATATCTAACTATGAAAGGTGTATTTAATTATTTTATTTGCATTTAGTTATTTATAAAATGTATTTTTTTATCTTCATTTGCTATTTGTGCTTCCTTTTTCAGTGTACTGACTTCTCATGTTGTCTATATTTTCGTTACAGGGTGCCTGTTTCTTACGACCTCTAGAAGCTCTTTGTCTGAATGTATTTTTATCTCTAATTATAAAAATATAATATAAATGTAAAAATATATTTATATTATAACTTTAGTTTCTCATCTTTTTACTAAATCTGTTTTTAGTATAAACATGTTTGATTTTACATCAAAGTTTTTTCTAGAATTGATGTTAGAAATGTCTTCCTGTCTCAGAGAAAACACAAATATGTCATACATGCTTTCTTTGAATTCTTTGAAACATTTTATTATATTGCACACTTTAACATAGCAATTATTTTAGTTGAAAGAGTGAGAAGGTTTCAGTGTTTTTTCTTCTTCTCCAAACATAGACACTTACATCACTTGTTTAAAATAACATCTTTATCGGTACTTATTCCAATATTCATTTGAGCTTGTATTTGAAATCTTAGTTATTTCATTAGTGTTTATGCTTCTTCCAGTACCAGAACCAAATAATTAAGCTTTAAATGTTGTATATCTGGTAGATATCTTCCCTCCTTGTCACATTTATTTTACAATTTTTTACCTGCTATTCTCATATTTTCCTATCAGTTTTACTATATTATTTTCTAGTCTATTTCTCTCCTCATTCTTCACCCCTATATTTTACTTTCTCTGTTTTCATGTCTTTTTCTGCCTTTTTCTCACACACACATATGCGCACGCACACACACACGCATGCGTGCTGTCACCTTCAAACTCGTGTATTAAATGAATACTCAATAATAAATGAATATGCCTCTTATAAATGTACGTGAAAAGAAAATGTAAGAATTGTGGCAGGAAGTACTGATGTCTTGATAATGTTGTCCTCTTATCCAAGACCACTGAAGTGATCTTTTTTATTCAAACATTCTTTGATATCCTTAAGTAGTGTTTTAAAAATACCTCTTTATATGTTACTAACTTCATTCTGAGGCATATTACCTTTTGTATTGCCAACATTAAAGAAATATCTTCTCTCCTTATATTTTATCATTTTTGTTGTTTGCAGAAATAAAATATTTTGATTTTATATATAATTTTATGAATCAGATAATCTCTTGCGTTTCTATTTTTTCTTATTTTTCCTAGTGTTTTCTAGGCATCTATTCATAATATCTTCAAATAATACTTTTTCTCTCAACTCAATATTTACATATCTTATTTTATACTCATAACTAACGCCTTAACTAGTGTATTCCCAATATAGTGGTTGATAAATTATAATGTATACATTTTTTAATGTTTCCAGGAATTATGTATATATGTGTATAAAAGAGGAAGAATAAGAGAGATCATATCAAGATTGTCTATTTATTTATATTTTATTACTGTTGAATATTTAAAAAGTCATTTTAGTAACCTTTAGAGTTAAATTGATTTATATTTTCCTAAAAAATACACCAAGACTTTACAACTTTACGTATGATTTACACATTTTATTTTAATTTCTGTAGATGGGATTATTTACCTTTTCTTTTTCAATGACTTTCACTGTTTTATCTTTTTAAATCTGCTTCAGAAAGCCAGATGTCATTAGATTTAAAAATCATCAGTACCTGAATTTATACATCAAGGCTACTTTTCAATTGATCTCAAAGAAGTAGTGAATAGAATAGTGGTTACCAGAGACTGGGGAGGGTAGGAGGATAGAGTGGATGGGAAAAGGTTGAGCAATGAATACGAATATACAATTAGAAAGAAAAAATAAATTATTGTGTTCTACCACACATTAGGGTGACTATTGCCAACAATGAAGTATTATACATAGAAAAATTGCTAGAAGGAAGAATTTTGAATGTCCTACCACAAAGAAATAATAAATGTTTAAAATGGTGGGTATGTTAACGACCTTGATTTGATGACTACATAATAAATGTATATATTGAAATATCACATTGTATTCCATAATTATGTATAATTATGTGTCAATTAATTTAAAAATGTAAAAAACTCTACTTTTCATTACTATATTTTAATTCATTAATTTTCATGGCTTTTTATTCCTGGTTTCCTTCTGTTTTCCTTATTGTGTTCTTTTTCATTATAATTTGGAAATAAAATTGTTAATTTTCCTCTTTCTTTTTTAATAATGCAAGTGTTTAAAACTCTACAATGTTTTTTCATGCAGAGTTTTCAATACTTGGTTTCATATTCAGAAACTAATATTGCTATTTGTTGGTGTAAGGTTGAGATTTTAATTTTTTCTTTGATGTAAAAATTGTTTAAGAGATAATTTAAAAATATTTCCAAATAAGCGTCTAAAACTTTCTGCGTTTTGATTTATCATTTTATTATATTGCAGTCTATAGCATTTCTATTTAGAACAAAACAAAATACATGGATTCCTCTAACTACATTATCTGTGTGTTCAAATATATTCTGGGTAGCTTACCCTTGACTAATTTTATACCCTCTCTATGCTGTGTGTGTGTCATCACTTCTCAGTCCTGTTTGAATGCTCCTCTTTTATCTCCTTGTCTCTGCTAAGAACAGCATAGCAGGGGTAAAAGAGAAGGTAGCCAATGTTTTAGGGTTTTGATTATAGAATGCTTAATCATCATTGGAAAAGAAGCTGTCAAAAAGCATTTTCCATGTGTTTTTATTAGTGATTAGTTTAGGGGGAACTTTCTCTGTGCCAGTAAGCATTTCTCCTAGCCAGGGCAAAAAAAAAAGATAAATTTTTTCTTCTCCTTTGAGTCATTAATTATCCATAGTGGCAGGTACGTTTTTTACTTTTTCTAAAGAACTTTTCAGCTTTTTTCCATCTGCGCCATAATTTCAATTTCCTCCATTTACATAATTTCTTTCTGCTTTATTTTGTGAGGTATTCTGCTTTATTTTTTCCTTAAGGATTCGGACAGCAAAATTGTATTATGTGAGGTCTTACACTGTTGGTACATTTTAAATTCATTATTTGGTATGTTGTGTTAGGTTTGAAGTGCCTAGTGTAAACCTGCTTTTATGCCGTTATTTTCTTCCACATTGAATTCTCCCTTTTTTGTTATCTTGCTCTTGGTCATTAAGCGATAAGAAAGACTAATCAGGAAAGCTGTAATTTTCATCATGCTAACTAAAGACCTTATGGTCCTTGAGCCCATTTAAATGATTCCTGTATATCCCAAGAAACCCTTTGTCACAGTACAGATACTACAGCCCCATCCTGTCAAATTATTGTTCTCCCCTGATATAATGGAGTAACTATCCAAATGAAATAATGACAGTTGGAGAGAATATTATGGTAAAGACATTATAAATTAGTTCGGTAAGAAACATTTATTGAATCTTTACTATGGGATATGACTTAGGAAACGATGAACAAAATAGACATTGCCCTGATGGAGTTTACATCTAGTGAAATAGACTGGCACTAACCATAGATTAAGAGAAAGAACAGAAGATTTCAATTATGTTAATTGTTAGCAAAAAGAGGGACATGTTGCTTTGAAACGCTTTAACGTTGGGATTAGATCTCATCTGGAAAATCAAGGAAGGCTCTTTTGAACAAGTAAAAATTGAGCTAAGGGCTAATGGAACAGAGTTAACTGAGGAAAGCAAGTGAGTTTGTGTGTTAGGGGAGAGTGTTTTTAGTATTTTAAGTAAATGGAAGAATATGTGCAAAGGCATTGTGGTGGAAAATAGCATGTTGCATTGAGGAACTGTGAAAAATGCCAGACCAGCTAAAATAAAAGACCTCAGGTGTGGGTGGTGGACATGATATAAATTAAAGCAGAAGCAGCAGATGTAAGCAGAATTGTTCAAGATTCTATTGAACATTTTACAAAGTTTGGACTTTATCCAAAAGTGATGGAAAATAATAAGAAATAAATGGAAAGGAGAAAGTTTAAATACAACTAAGCTGCTGGGTGAATAAAGGATTGGAAGAATGAAGGGTATGTTATCTTCTGTAGTAAACTACTCATCACCCTGCTAAACTTCATCTATGTTTTTTCCAGATCTGGCATCTTATGATCTTCAGCATCCACCTGTCTATTTTGATTTGTCCAGGCTTTCCTAATGCATTAGTGCTTGAGTCCTTTCTCCAGGTTGACATAGCAATCCTTCGTATCACCTAGGGACAAGTTGGTAAGTGTTCTAAGACAAATGCTTTGAGACTATCCCAGGGTGCTTCTGTTTAACAGAGAGCAGATTCAAGAGCTGTATAATTGCTTAACATAAGTTTTTAGGGAGTAGAAACACTGCCTAAGTTTCTGGGCTCCTGATTCTTAAGTAGGTCACCCAGACTTCCCCCCATTTTTGACTGAAGCCATCCTAATTATTATGAGATGAACCTAAGACAATTTGAAGCCTATAAGCTAATTTTTCAGAGGATAACATGGTTTGGAATGAAATAATAAAAATTCCTTAGTTAATTTAACATTAACAAAATGGTAAAGCAATTCTTCATTTAGTACCAATAAATGCAACACAATTAATAATGGAGAAAGAAATTAAGTTAATATGGAAAGTATACATTGTGAAAGTAGGTATTGTTGATTCCAAAACTAAACTATGCTTTGTTAGCATAGCTTGAATTACCGTATATAATTATGCATAGTGATGGTGCTCTTATTTAATATAGAAACTTCATTAATTATAACATCATATGCTCCATAATCTAAATTGTAGTGGGTTTTATATAGTAAGAACCTATGTGATCTTTTTGAATGAATGCAGTTATTTCTGAATATTTTGGCTAAAATTTCAAGAAGTAGTCTAAATTAATGAGCCCTGGTTGTTTGAAGAAATTAGGCTTGTCCAAGGCACAATGGAATAGAAATAAATGATCATTCTCCCTGAAAAATTCATTCTGCATATATATTATAATGAAATCTCAGACTAAGACCCAAGTAAAGAATTTTATTGCCAGTCTAGTAGGTCCCAACTTGAGTTGGTTGTATTCAACAGGATGTACAAATTCATTATTTCAATATTGTATTAGTTAAAGCTCCAAAATATGTGGACATATCTTCAGAGCCTCAGGTGTTCAATTCAGTTGGCTGGTTTTTTCTATAAGCATATCATTGTTTCTTTAAATTATTTAATATTAGAAAACACCATTCACTCCAAGGATTCTAGAGGCCTTACTTAGTTAAAATAATAACACACAAGTCATAATAGATGTCATGATGTGGATAGTTTGCTATGATCAACACTCATCTTGGATGCCAGCTACCCCAACTTAAGAAATTCATAGCAAAAGCACTATAGCAGGACAAACGCAAGTTAAGAGAGAAAAGAGAAAAAGCAAAGAAAAGGAAGGAAAAGAAGAAAAGAAAAAATAAATAATTTTATTATCACCTTGCTCTAATGATAAAATATATTAAATATATACATATATTTGTGGTAGACATACTCAAAAGTGGTCCCCAAGATCTCTAGCTCCTGGAATTTATGCCCTATAACTTTTCTGCCTTTTTAACGTGGATAGAACCTGTGACTTGCTTCTGATCAATAGAGTATGGCAAAGATAATGGATGTCACTGTCATGTGAATGTTTCATAAAACCATAAACCATATTTCTAGGGGACACTAGCCCTGGCAGTCTTTGAGGAAGCAAGTTGTCATCATGCTGGGAAGGCCCTCATGACAAGAAGCTGATGAAGGCTTCCAGCTGACAGCCAGCAAGATACAGAGGTCCTGGGTCCAGTAGCCCATAAGGGACTAATGGACTAACAACCACATGAACACGAAAGCGAATGTTTCCTCGACTGAGCTTCAGATGAGACTGCAGGTCCTGCCAATACTTCAACTGCAGCCTTGTGAGATCCTGAAGCAGAGATTCCAGCTAAGCTTTTCCAACGTCCGCCCAAATAGTGAGACAATACATGTGTTTTTCTTTTTTTCAGTCACTATTATAGAACAATATATAAGAAAACATTCAATATATTTATATAAATTTATATTTTAAGTATAAAATATGTCAGACATCATAATAGGTTGTTTAATTAAATACAATATTTAATCTGAAAAATAACCAAAAGTATATAACTCAAAGGAGAGGGATTTATGTTACTCAACACAAATTTGAGTGTGTTCTTACATTACTCTCTTCTTGTATTTCTGGGAGAAGCCAAACTGGGTCATGTAACTTTAAATTTAGAAGAATAAATGTTTTGATACAATGGTAGCCTTGATTTTTAATACAGTGTTTAATAATTTTATAGTTATATAGCTAAGTTGATTTTATTCGAATGAGAAAAGCCAGAGAATGACACAAGATAAAGGAAAACGCAGACGCGCTCTGTCACTTTTGATTTATTTGAAAATATCTTCATTTGGTATTTATTCTTCAATAATGTTGGGCATAAAATTCTAGATTGATTTTTTTTCCTCATAATTTTAGGGAAACTTTTTGTCCCTTTTTTATTTTTGCTTTGGAGATATCTTCTGTATCATTTCTGTAATCTAGTTTACTTTCTCCCTTTAAATATTTATTATTTATTTATTTTAGTATTCTACACTTTTCCTTAGGAGTAAATTCATTTTTATTTACTATCCTTGAGATTCATTATGCTTTGTAAATCTAAGAATTTAGGCTTTTTATTCAATTCTAGAATAGTGTATGCCTTTTTCTATAAATATTTGAATACTGTTTTGCTTCCATTAACTGCATTCTCTTGTCATAGAACCCTCATTAGATGCATGTTAAGTTTTATTACATGTCCTCCTCTCCACTTCTCTCAAATTTTCTTAAGTATTTAATATTTAAAAATTCATGTTTCTAAATAATTGCCTTAAATATATCTTCTATCTCATCAATGACTTTACATATTTCATATGTAAATGTTTAAATGTATATGTTTGCATACATATGTCTATATACATATGTATTTATAGAATTTTGTGTTTTTTTTCTTGTTGATATTTTCTCATAGTGTTTGATTCATTTCTTAATATTTTTAGCTTTAACCTTTTTATCCTATTTTAACAGATTGGTTAATCAAAGTCACCTGAATAACATTGTTATGTTATATATATATATATATATATATAGACTCTCATTCATTTATCTTCTTATTGGGATTCGAATCTTGACCCATGTTTGGAAGGGTTTTATCTATGAGGATCCTGTGGATCCTAGGCTAAGGAGTTACCTTTCCAAAAGGATGTATGCTTGCCTCCAGCAAGTGCCCAGGAGTATGGCCATTTTTATGTTAGTTTGTTTGCTAAGAGTTTCCAGACCACACAGTTTGTTTACGTTGGAATCTCAAACTCAGGAAAGGTGATTGTGACATTTTAGACTCTAAGGACATTTTGTTTTTGTTTTTGTCTACACAGAACCCATTCAGACTGGAACACTATTGTCCTCTCCCTGTGCCAGCTAAAAGATGTTTTGTCCTTTTTTAAGAAAAAAAATGTATTTTTATTTTGAGACTTATTTTTTAAGTTCCAGGATACATGTGCAGAATGTTCAGGTTTATTTCATAAGTACACATGTGCCATGGTGGTTTGCTGCACGTATTAACCCATCATCCAGGTTCCCTTCCCTCATCCGCCACCTCCCAACAGGCCCCAGCATGTGTTGTTTCCCTCCCTGTGTCCATATGTTCTCACTGTTCAACTCCCACTTAAAGGTGAGAACATGTGGTGTTTGGTTTTCTGTTCCTGTGTTAGTTTGCTGAGGATGATGGCTTCCAGCTTCATCCATGTCCCCACAAAGGACATGATCTCATTCGTTTATATAGCTGCATAGTATTGCATGGTGTATATGTACTGCATTTTATTTATCCAGCCTATCATTGATGGGTATTTGGGTTAGTTCCATGTCTTTGCTATTGTGAATAGTTTTGCAATAAACATATGCGTGCATGTGTCTTTATAGGAGAATGATTTATATTTCTTTGGGTATATACCCAGTAATGGAATTGCTGAGTCAGATAATATTTCTGTTTCTAGATACTTGAGGAATTGCCATACTGTCTTCCACAATGGTTGAACTAATTTATATTTGCACCACAGCGTAAAAGCATTCCTATTTCTCCATAGCCTCACCAGCATCTAATGTTTCTTGACTTTTTAATAATCACCGTTTTTGACTGGCATGAGATCATATCTCATTGTGGTTTTGATTTGCATTTCTCTAATGATCAGTGATGTTTAGCTTTTTTTAATATATGTTTGTTGGCTGCATAAATGTCTTGTTTTAAGAAGTGTCTGTTCATATCCTTTGCCCAGTTTTTGATGGGGTGGTTTTTTTCTTGTAAATTTGTTGAAGTTCCATGTAGATTCTTGATATTAGACCTTTGTCAGATGGGTAGATTGGAAAAATTTTCTCCCATTCTGTTGGTTGCCTGTTCACTCTGATGATAGTTTCTTTTGCTGTGCAGAAGCTCTTTAGTTTAATTAGATTCCATTTGTCAATTTTGGCTTTTGTTGCAATTGCTTTTGGCATTTTCATCATGAAGTCTTTGCCTATGCTTATGTCTTGAAATGTTATTGCCTAGGTTTTCTTATAGGGCTTTTATGGGTTTGAGTTTTACATTTAAGTCTATATTCTATCTTGAGCTAAGGTTAGTATTTTTATATGTGAATTTGATCCTGCCATCATGATGCTATCTGGTTATTTTGCACACTCATTGATGCAGTTTCTTCATAGTGCCATTGGTCTTTATATGTTGGTGTGTTTTGTATTGGCTGGTACAAGTTTTTCCTTTCCATACTTAGTGCTTCCTTCAGAATTCTTGCAAGGCATGTCTGGTGGTAATGAAATTGTTCAACAGTTGCTTGTCTGGAAAGAATTTTATTTTTCCTTCGCTTATGCAGCTTAGTTTGGCTGGACATAAAATTCTGGGTTGAATATTCTTTTAAGAATGTTTAATAATAGTCCCCACTCTCTTCTGGTTTGTAGGGTTTCTGCTGAGAGCTCTGCTGTTAGTCTGATGGGTTTCCCTTTGTAGGTGAGCTGGCCTTTCTCTCTGGTTACCCTTAACATTTTTTTCCATCCTCTTGACCTTGATGAATCTGATGATTATGTGTCTTGGGGTTGGTCTTCTCGTGGAGTCTCTTAGTGGTGTTCTCTGTATTTCCTGAATTTGAATGTTGGCCTGTCTTACTAGGTTGGGAAAATTCTCCTGGGTAATATCCTGAAGTGTGTTTTCCACCTTGGTTCCATTCTCCCTGTCTCCTTCGGGTACGCCAATCAGTCATAGGTTGTCTTTTTACAGAGTCCCATATTTCTTAGAGGCTTTGTTCCTTTTCATTCTGTTTTCTCTAATCGTGTCTGCATGCCTTATTTAATCAAGGTAGTCTTCAAACTCTGATAACCTTTCTTCCACTTGGTCGATTCAGCTATTGATACATGTGTATGCTTCACAATGTTCTTGTGCTGTGTTTTCAGCTCCATCAGCTCATTTATGTTCCTCTGTAAACTGGTTATTCTAGTTAGCAGCTCCTCTAAGCTTCTTTCAAGGTTCTTAGCTTCTTTGCATTGGGTTAGAATATACTCCTTTAGCTCAGCAGAGTTTTTTACTCATCTTCTGAAGCCTACTTCTGTCAATTCATCCATCTCATCCTACGTCCAGTTGTGCGCCCTTGCTGGAGAGGCATTGTGATCATTTGGAGAAGAGGCACTCTGGCCTTTTGGGTTTTCAGCTTTTTTTCATTGATTCTTTTTCATCTTCATGAGTCTGTCTAGTTTTAATCTTTGAGGCTGCTGACTCTTGGATGGGGTTTTTGTGGGGACTTTTGTTGTTGATGATGCATTGTTGTTGCTTTCTGTTTGTTTTTCTTTCAGTGGACAGGTTCCTCTTCTGTAGGGTTACCATGGTTTGCTAGGGGTTCACTTCAGGCCCTATTCATTTGGTTAGTGGCTGGGCCTGGAGATGTCACTCAAGGAAGCTGGAGAACAGCAAAGATGTGTAGCTGCTCTTCCTCTCGTATCTCTGACCTCAAGGGCCACCAACCTGATGCCAGAAGGATCAGTCCTGTATAGGGTGTCTGACAACCCCTGTTGGAGGGTCTCACCCAGTTGAGTGGCACAGGGAATAGGACCTGTTTAATGTAGCACTTTAACTGTCTCTGGTGGAGGGGGTGTGCTTCATTGCAGGGAATCCCACTTGTCTGGGCTGCCGGATTCCTCAGTACTAGCAGGGGGAAAGGCTAAGTCTGCTGGTCTGCAGAGACTGCAGCCACCTCTCCCTCTAGGAGCTCAGGCCCAGGGAGATCAGAGTTCTGTCTCTGAGCCTCTGGCTAGAGTTGTTAGAGTTGTTGGAGTTGTTGGAGTTCCTGCAGGGAGGCCCTGCCCAGTGAGGAGGGATGGGTCAGGGTCTGGCCTGAAGAGGCACTCTGGTTGCAGTCTGCCACAGGCCCTGTGTTGGGCTATGGGGGACACCTGTTGGGATCAAGTCGTCCAGTCCCCCTGGCTCCAGCAGGGGAAAAGCCTGGCCTGGAGCTATAGAGATTGCTGCCGCCCTCCCCCGCACCCAGGGAGCTTAGCATATTAGGTAGCTATCAGATCCAGTGCTGGCTGCTGCCCCTCCGACAAGGAGCTCAACAGCTTAGACAACAGGCAGTCACAGCTGTGGTGCTTGTCGTCCCTCCCCCTGGGAACTCAGCAGGCTTAAGCAGATTCTAGCTGAAAGACTGTGGAGAATCTGAGCTCCAGTGTTGGGACCCTAGGCCTCCGTGGCGTGGGATTACAGGCGTGAGCCACCGCACCCGGTCATTTTTAGGTTTTTAAAAATTTCTTCCTGGTTCTTGGCAATTTTATTTGGAGGCCTGTGAGGTTATCTTTGCCTTTACGAGGCTGTTTTTTATATATTATCTAACATTTCTAGCTATCTATATGGTGAGTTTGTTCAGAGTATCTGGTTTTTAAGAAAGTCTTTTCAAGGTACAGGTGCCAATT